CTCTGCGCGCTCGGGTGGGGACAGGAATTGGGGTGGGGGTGCTCTGAACGTGATCTGCGAGATTGTCCCAACCTCCCTCTGGGCTGCAGGGCTTGGGTGTCTGCTGGGAGCTCTTGGCGGGGAGGACAAAGTTCCAAAGCCCGGGTCGCTGGCCTTACTTACGGGGAGGAGGCCACCGGGCCGCGGTGGGCGAGGGGCCCTGGGCACGCTCCGGGGAAGGCTACGCGGTGGAGTGTGGCGAAGGTTCCAGCTCCAAACCCCGCGCCACGGGGGAATTTCGTCGCGACTGTCATCACGGATGGCCGCAGACCGAGTTCTGGGACAGGCTTCCGCGCAGAGTGGGAGCCCTGGGGAAGGCGCCAACTTCTCTCCCCTAGTCGCCCCCCATGGGCGCCTTGCCGGAGCTCGGGGACAGTCACGGGCAGGGGTGCAGGGGATGGATTCGCCGGACGAGGGCAGCTGATCTCCTTGCTCCTGACTGGCCAAGGAGCGGGGCAGGAGAGGGGTAGTTCCCTGCATGTCGCTCCAGAGGGTCCCCCAGGCCCAGGCCTCTTTCGACCAGGCGTAACCGAGGCTGGGGAATGGGAGAGCCGGAGGCCGCCTAGCGCTGCCAGGGACGGCGCCCGAGGGATGCGAGTGGCTTTTAAAGTTAGCCGAAATCCCTCCGCAGCTGGCGGCGGCTGGCAGTGTACGCGCGGCTTCTGGGGCTCTGGCTTCTCCGCTTCTCTCACCGCCGCAGATTTTTTACTCTGGGCTTTAACTTTGTTGTGGCCATCCGAGGCACCCTGCGCGGCTGCTCTCAGGGCTGGGCTGGAACCGGTGCGTGTCCCTGGCCAGCTGACCCGCTGGGCTGGGCCAGGCTGGGCTACCCAGGAGCCTCCGTTACCGCGGGCCCAGCGCCTGCGCCGGGCCAGAGACCTGGGCAGCCCGGGTTCGCGAGGCACCAACATCTGGTGCGCCGTCAGCCGAGAGCTCTACCCAGCCAGGGCCACCGTCCTCCTCCTCCTCTTCCCGGGCTCCCCTCCAGGAGCCGACTTTGCTCCTGCAAGAGCGGACTTTGGGGTGACAAGCGCTTTGATGAGGATTCAGGAACTCGGGCCAGGCTTGGTTATCTGTACTTGAGGTTTTCCCTAAGATGCATCCCTCTCGCTCACTCTCCCTAGAGCCACGTCCTCTTGAACTCAGCTTCTGAATGGGGACAGAAAACAGTCAGCTCTGCAGACGTTGAGGTCTTCCAGTGCATGCTCAGGACCCAGGACCAAGCTGGGCAGGCATGCACCCAGAGGGAGGCAGAGAAGGCCGGGCACCTGAGGGGACTCTGGGGACAGCCCTCACAGTCAAGCTTAACCCTTTGAAGTCTAGGTTTCTCTAGGCCAGCCAAAAATGTTTTCTGTCTGTGTTCCTGCCCCAGTACTGGCCTGCTCACCATTTCAGCTAGTCCCTTAGGAGTGGGCCACTGTTTTCTTTATTCCTGCTCTCATTTCTTGTGGTTTTAGGGGACCTTCACGGTAGTGTCCTTGAGATAGAAAGGTAATATCAAAAGGGGCTGTGTGCCCCTTTTAGGCTTTGCAGGTCTGCCTTTCTTGGGCTTCCCTCTATAGAGTGGGGTAGTTGTGTTTCCAGACCAGTTTCATGAATGGAAATCTTTGGAGGCCTAGAGAGACAGGCGCAGATAAGAAGAGCCTCAGAGGCGTGGGTTGCAAATGGGCAGGGTATGTAGTCCTCACCGGCCCTTGTCACCGTGACAGTACATAGAGCTGCACTGGGGTCTCCTCATTGGCCCGAAGGGGAGCAAATTCCAAACCTGCGGCCCTTTCTTGAGCCACGGTATAATAGCGCAATTAAGGATGGCAGATCCCCCCCTTTCTAATCTTCTTCATATTAAGCCCCAGGATTAATTAGCGTGTCGGCCCAGGCCATTTATATCCAAGAGCCCTGCCCTATTTGACTCCCAGCCCGAGGACTGGGGTGCTGTACTGATGCCAAACGTGACTACTGGAGCAGGGCCAGCTTTGGGTGGAGGATGGAAAGGCTCTGAGGCCTCTGGGCTTCTTTGGAGCTGCCCTGGGAGCTGAGCTTCTGTCCTTCCGGAGCTTGAGGTTGAACCCCAGCTGGAGTCAGGGCACGGGAGGCTGTGGGGTGGGGGGGGAAGGAGGGGGGGGGGAGACGCTACAACCCAGAGATATTGCCTTGACTAGACTGGATGCCATCTCTCCTTTCCCATCTCTGGGATCTGAGACCTCTTGGCTGGAGCTGCAGGGATTGAGGCCCTGGAAATTGGCCTCCTCTGAAGCATGCTGGGTGCTTCTGCCAGAACTGCTGGAGCTTGGATCCCGAATCCCTTCTCCAGCAGCCAGGCGTCGCTGAGCACACCGGACCAGAGAGGGTTTACCTGCAGGTGCAAGATGGGCTCTCTGGCCTGGGGAGCATGGTACCCGCCCCTTCTCTTTGTGCCTCTTCTGGGGGCTGAAATTCCTTCTTAGACAAGGAGATGGATAGCTCAGCAGTGTGACAGAGTGCTCAAACAATCTGTCTTGAATAGATGAATTGCATTGCTCTGTCTTTTTGTAATTGTGTCTATCAGAGGGAGAGGTCAAGGCATTGATTGCTTGGATGGTTTGCAAGTAACAAAGGAGAGTGGGGGAGAGAGCGAGGGAGAGAGAGTAATTGGATTGTAGTCTGCGGGGGGAAAATGATCATTGATTATTTTATATGAATATGTGGAAGATGTATTCTGCGTGTGATTATCAAGGGCTGCCATCGAAGCCTTGTGAGGCAGATTGTTCTGCATTGTATTATTATTGTTGTCCTTGTTATTGTTGTCCGAATGGATCCTGGTCTTAACTTAGGATAGGCAATTAGATGCAAGGTCTTCTCAGCCAGATGAGCTTTAGCGACCTTCCCTGGGGACTTGAATTTGCAGGTTCATAACCTTAAGCTGAGGAGGAGAGGTGATGGACGTAGAAGCCAGTGGCTTGGGTTTTCTCTTCTATTTGCTCTTAGTGGACTGGATCACTGTGATACAGTCCTCTTCTTCCCACTCAGGTGCTCAGTTTCCCCAGATGCACACCATTTGATTGACATAAACTGTGATGTCAAGTTCCCTGGAGAGCGGGCTGGCAGGAGATGGTTATGGTCCTTGTAGGTTTCCTGGTTGTATCTTCCCTAGGACTACAGATAAACTATAGGATTGAGGGCTGCTTGGGATTTGAGAAAGGACCCAGGCCGTGGTGGCAGCCGCTGGAGAAAACTGGCGAGTCTTCCTTGTGATGAGGAGCAGGGTGGCTGGTAGTGAACCCCGGCCAGCCAGTGGGGAAGTTCAAAGCCAAATGACTGCAGAGACATAAAGCAGGTGTAAAGGGGGGTGGGGTAGGAGGGAAGGGCGCACCCGGCTCTGCGTTCTTGGAGCATCCACAGACTGGGCAGAGCTGAGCAGTTTCTGAACGTACAGGGATCCAGAAGCCCTTCCCAGGGGAATGAAGCCCCCCCCCCCTTGTGCCACTCCCCTGGTCAGATCATCCAAATTGTCCTGAACACTCGCCTCTTGAGTTGGAGAGTCACTGCATGTAAAACAATGAGGGATTCTCCTGACTGGCGATGTGCGGAGACATTGCGCCTTGTAGGAACAGACAGCCGCTGAATGAAGATCAATAGGGTTTTCCCCCCAGAAGTAAATAGCTTCAGACAAAACCTGGGAGTGGCCCGAGGGGCCTTAGAAAGCATTAACTTGAGGAATTTCTGCTCACTTTTCAGCCCAGCTGCTCTTGTCAGCTCAGGCTTCCCCCCTCTTCTCCAGCTGGAGTTTAATTTCTCCTCGATGCTCGCACTGCGCTGAGCAGTCTTTTGACGCCAGGATGACCAGGGGTTTTTAGGGATGGTTTATGTGGGGTGAGCCAGGCCTGGTTAAGCTTTTCCGAGGTCGTGGGCATCCCCCTGTGGCTGTGCATGATGGGTTGAGTTTAGAAGTCTTGACCAGTAGTGCTGTTTTAAAGAGGTTGATCTCTGCTCCGCACCTCTACAGAGGTGCAGGAGTGTTTGGCTCCCTTTGACATTCTTTGTGACCCCCGAGAGCCGCCATGTTCACACAGGCACAGTGTTCTAGCACTGGGAAGTAGAGCACCCTGCAGAGACAGAAGGCCCAGGTCAACCTGTAGGTATTAGAACTAGAACTACCCTTCCTTGGGAGGCAAGGGCCTATGGAAAGGGAGCTGCAGACTTCGGGTAGTCTTGGAGAGGGAGATTTGTGCTTTATGGCTAGGGCTGTTTCTAATGCATTTGAGGCAAGGCCTCCCCCATCCACTCACAATCGGCCACCCCTCTCTCCCCCTTACAGCTCACCCTGAGCCCTGTCATCTTTGCTCAGGACCTTCTAGAGGCAAGTGAGATCTGAGACTTTACTGGGTCATGCAAAAGCAGGTAGGGAATGGAGGTCTCCAGGCCCTGCCTGGCAACAGAGAGGACTGGAATCCAAGAATAAGGACCCTGGAGTGTCCTCCACAGGCTGGAGTGGTGAGGTAGGAGCCCTGGGTGGGTAGAGTCCCCCAGAGGATCAGATGGAGCTGGCGCCTTGGCCTTGGCCTTGTTTCCCCGGAGCGCTTTTCTTCCAGGTGCTGATTCCTCAGCAGCAGCACCAGAGGGCAGTGTGTCTGTGCTCAGATGGCCACCGAGCCTCCTCCTGCCTGGGGCCCCACTGAGTCTGGAGCATAATCAAAATAATAAAACAGCACCAATACCATGGCCATAGTTTATTGGGCACTTAATAGCTGCCAGGCTGTTTGGAACGCTCTCCAAACAATGACAAGAAGCAGAGAGATAGTAAGTGCTCAATAAAGGTTGCTGCAGCATTTTCTCCGTTATCTGATGGAGCCTCTACGATGCTGCTGGTGCCCTCCCCATCTTTGCAGACAAAGAAACGCAGCTAGGTGAACTCCTTACTCAGGAGCCTGTGCCCAGTGCTTGGTGGACAAGGGACTTGGACTGCAGTCAGCCTCCAGATCTGGCGCTTGGAGCTGGTTACGTCGTTGGGAGATATCAGCAATTTATAAAGGGGTGAAATGCAGGTCTCATGCCCGTGGTTCTGGAAGCTGAGCAAGGTCGTGCTGGGTGGTTCTGGGGCTCTCACTGGCCCGGGATGGTTTCTCCACCACGGTTTAGCTCCAACAGTGTTCTCGTGCAGCATCAGGCTGGCCTTGCTGATGAGCCATGTGGTCAAATGCTTCCTTCAGTGAAAAGGGGTGGATATCCAGGGAGACACACACTCTTATGTTTTTCTGTACCCCACCTAGCCTCGGCTTCTTGACGGTCCAGTGCTTTCATCCAAGCCCCAGGCTGAATTCTTCCGTGGGTGAGGCCACTCTAGGCACAGAAATCCCTCTGCTTGGAGTTTTCCAGGATATCCTCAAAGACGAGGAATGTCAAAGCTTTGAGCTCCAAGGGCCCTGTGTGTATCTCACCTCCATCCTTTATCACCCTTGTGCTAGCAAAAGAAGATGTGTGGTGGGTGGGCTTCTCTTTGTTCTTCCTTCCCGTGGTCTCGCCTCCCTTTTCCTACCCTGGTCTCATTCCCTCTCCGCTCCATCATCCTTTGCAGGCTACCGATAGTTTTTATGTTGTTCTATTTTTAAGCAAGAATCACATGCCTATCTTCTAAATGGAGCCTATTTGGTTTGGAACCGAGACTGGTGGGCAACGTACAGGGCATGGTGGTTGCTGTCAGCAACTGCCACTCTGCTGGTAAATGGAGCTGTGTCACCTACTCACTGCAGCAGTGACACTTTCAGGACTGGCTCGGACAGAGGGGTCGGCATCTCCTGTACTGTCCAGTTTCCCTGTCTGCAAAGTGGGGAAATAAAAAATGCCTGTCCCCCAGGGTCAGACAGTTGTGATGTCTTTCCAAACAAGCTTAAGTGGCTCCAAAGACTGACATTAGTTCTTGGCTGTTATTCTTGTAGCCAGAGACCTGGACTGGGGTGAAACTTCCAGGGTGTCAGGATTTAAGGAAGCTCCCCAAAGATGAGGACCTTGAGCTTGCCTCGATGATGCGACAGTGAGTGCTTCCTTAAATCCTGGCTCTGCCCATCTTCCGGGTGGGCTTCTGGTTTTACAGTTCTTGGATGTAAAGATGCATAAGCTGGAAGACACAGCTCTCACCCATGGGGTGTGGAGAGGGGAGACTGGAGGAGCGGCCAGGGAACTGCAGAGGAGGGCAACAGGCTGCTTGATTTGTGTTTTTCTTCCCCCTTTAACACATTTTACTGCAGCCAGGCCTCAGAGCCCTCGGTGC